CAATTATACTCACTAAAAAATTTTTTAAGGTCACCATAATGTCCTCTCCTGAAGTCAAGGTGTGTATGTGTGTAGAAGTGTGTAACATACTTTGTGTGTATGTGTATATGTATGTGTATGTGTACTTTTTCTTTCGGAAGGGGCTCTGTTCCCTTCTCTGTTGACGGGGCGCTGAGGGAGCAGCTTGCTCTGTTGACTCTCGCATGGTCCCGCTGTTGGTGGGCACTTTTGGTTGTCTTCTGGCATCTGGTGGTGGCGGTGGACAGCTTCTCCCCCTTTGGGGGGGTTCAGAGCTGGCGGGGTGGGCTTCTTCCCCTGCGCTTCATCATGTCATCTTAGTGGGTGCGTTGGACGTGGTCGATCTGCCCCATCCTTCTGGGGTTCCTGTCTGCTGTTTGCAGACATGGGCTTTTCGCATCTGCGTTTCTTCTGGACTTCTTCAGTCTGCGCCCTGGATTGTATGCCCTCCTCGGAAGACTGTTGTCTCCTGTCTGACTTCTGTTGGGGCTGGGTGCCTGGATGGTTGCCCTGGACCTCCGAGTCAATTCCTGGCACGTTCCTCTCCAGTTTTCCGGGACTGGCACAGTTGGTGGTGGGGCTTCAGGCTTGCCGCTTTTGTTGCATTCCCTATTTTGTAATTGGCACTTGGTGTTTTTTTTTGCATCTTTACCGGATCTTGGTGCCGTCTGAGTGCTTGAGATTCAGTGTCTGGCCTACCTCGACGACTGGCTGGTGTGGGCTCCCAGTCGGTCCGCTTGTCTGCTCACCAGGGGTGTGGTTCTTTCCAGATCGCCGGGTTTGGTTTCCTGGTGATCTGGAGGTTATTCCGTCTGTTTCCGTCCCGGGTTCTGACCTGGGCCTTGTTTAGGGCTATTGGGCCACTCTTTGTCTTTCCCTCCAGAAGTGTTACTGCGGCTGTGGTCCCGCCTTCGGCTGTTCATGAGGGGTTCCCGGGTTGCTCAGCGGTTGCTTGAGCAGTTGTGCGGGAATCTGAACTTCGACGTGCTGGTCTACCCGCCAGGGTCGGGTTTGACTTCGGCGTCTGTTTGGTTCCTTCGGAGATTCCCTTTCCGCCTCTTGCAATCGTTGGGTTCGTTCCTCCGGGATCTTGTGTTGGTGCTGCATCACAAGCTTCCCCTTTGGGATTTTCGGGGTTCAGTGCCTTGGCACCTCCCCGAGCCTTCGCTCGATGTGTTCATAGATGGGTCACGTCTCGGCTGGGGCTTTGTGACCAGTGCTCACCAGGTCGGCCGGGGATGGTGGAGTCTGTCCGTCCGACGGGCTCGCAGCACGGTTCGGAAGTTCGTGGCTGGCTGGTTTGCGCTTCGGAGGGTTTGGGTCACTCAGTGCTCTACCATTCAGCTCCGTTCAGACTGTTCTCTGGCGGTTCTTGCTGGAACCACAAGGTTTCTCTTAGGTGTTGACCTTTGGGGTTGGTTCTTTAGAGTGGCTCATTTGCTGGATTCTCGGGGTTTGGCTAATCGTGAGGTTCATGTCCGGGGTGTGTCCTGCGTCCTGGCGGACAGCTGTCTCGGTTCATTCCTCTGGTTAGCGGATTGGCCAGTCATCGCCGACTCGTTTTGTTGGCTCTGCCGGACGTATGGACTCCTGGCCATGGACGTCTTCGAGTCGGCGTGGTCTAGGTGTCGGCCATTTTATGTGGCGCCCTTACCCACCTGTGAGGCGTTCACGGTGGATACTTTTCGGCAGGACTGGTTGAGGTGGGGGTACCTGTTCCTCTTCTCCCAGTCCAGCTGTTGCTTTGGGTTCTGGCTCGGTTGCAGCCCATTCCCACGAGAGCAGTCCTTATGGTTTCTTGGTGGCCGGCCCAGCTTTATTTTCAGATGCTGCTTGATAGGTGTCTGAACCCGGGGCGTTTTCCTGCGGCTCCGCTTCTTTCGGCAGGTCGGATCGGTCCTGTACGTGACTGTTTCAGCCATCTCCTCGGCTCTTCGCATCTGGTATTTTGATGCAGGTATCACCATCTCTGTGGTGTTCAGGTGGCTTTGTTGATGGTGTCCCACCTGCGAGCTTCGTCTTGGCGACAGTATGACGTTCCTGGTGTTTTTATGCACTTTTTCTTGCTCTTCGTAGGTTGTCATCTCTTTCGCATCGGGTTGTCTTGTCCTTTCTTGGGTTTTCAGGACTACTGTTAATTGATGTTTTTACTGTCACCTCATTTTGTGCGGCGCTGGTGGAGCCGCTCTGGCTTGCGTTCACGGTGGACGTCACATCTGCCCTGTTTCGTACGCTTACTCGTGTTTTGTTTCACCTCCGGCCTGCTCGTGCGTCTTTGAGCCGTCCTGATCCTTCAACCTGTCCTATTAAAAAGAATGTCGCTTTTGGCCGTTTGCCCGTATGGCCGAATCTGGATGTAATATGAAAATGAAAAAAAAATGAAAATAAATTTGGGATTTATTTTTTCAAGGTAAGTTAACGGTCCTCTAATAGGTTAGGTGGGCAGGAAATTCTCATAAAAGTTTCAAAATGGTATGAAAACGTTAATGGAAAGTTTCCTCTTCTTTGCTTGCCGAGTAAGCCGAACAACTCAAACAGAAAATGGAACAGTAAGTCACTTTTGTGAGTCGATTTCATTTCAAATTATGTCCAAATTTGGCCATAGATCGCATACGAGCGAAAAGTGACTTTTATTTTTAAGGTTGGGTCCTTGATCAGGGTGCCTTCTTATCTTCTCCTCAGTTTGTGGTAGCCCCTTCGGTTCAGGTTTCTGCTCTTTGGTACTGGTGGTAGATTTGTACGTGTGCAGCCTTTCTCCGTCCTGGCAACAGTCGAGACGGCTGCTTTCCGGAGGGGTTCTTGGGTTATTGATGCTTGATTGGTTTGGCCGGGGGTGCGTCCTGTGTTGTCCGGTTGCGCTTTTTGCCGTTACCTGCCTACCATGTCTGGGGATGTGCTTTGGTTTGATCCGGTTCCCCTTGTTCCTTGTTTTCAGGGTTCGGGTCTCCCAGGTCGTCCGCAGAGTTTTTCAGTCTTCCAGCCTGCGGTCTGTCTTTGCGCCCGTGCTGTTCAGACGTTTGCAGCTTTTGCTGCTGTATTGGTGACGTCTAGGGCTCATTTTGGGCGTAGGGATTTGAGGATCGCACAGGTTCTTGGCCACCCATTCTTTATGCGTGTCTGCTCCTGTGCGTTCTTGTTGCCTTGGGGCACAGGTTGCGACCTGTTGCAACCTACGGAGTTGCAACAATGGCTTCGCATTGCAGAGTTTGTGGCGGCCGCCTCCCGGGTTTGCCCTTTCTTTTCCTTCTATTTGGGTATGAAGCTCCAGGCAGCCGTAGGGGCTCCCCACAGAAAACCAGCGTTGAATGTAATGAAATGCCATTTTCTTGGTGAGCCCCGGAGGCTCCCTGGCAACCCTCCCTCTCACCGGTCGGCAGTTTTTTCGCGTTGGTTGAAGCTTATCTTCCGAACTGAAGCTTGGCAGCCGGCGCGATAGGTCCAGCCCTCCCCCTCCCCCTCTCGGGGCAGGGAAGGCTGCGCGGATGATCGGCGCGGCAGTAAAGTGTGATGTTTGCTTGTTTGCTTGTTTCCTTGGGATTGTAGGGAGTTTCTACCTCTCTGTTTGATTTTTTGTTTTAGTTTCTTACCATGTGGGGTTTGTTTTGTTATGCCTACCTTTCTGGGTGCCTAACCCCGGTCGATGGCAGATAAGGAAAACCCCAACCACAAGAGGGTTTTCCAGTGCCATTGCTCCCTGAAACCTCTCTGAAGGGGCCAGGTTCTGGCGCTGGTCCCTGGTAGGTCTGAACTCCTTAGCTAATGTCCCGGTCTAATATAACATACATTAGTCCGATTAGCTCCAGGGAGCCTCCGGAGCTCACCCAGAAAAATAGCGTTTCATTACATTCAACACTTTTTTTTTTATGAAAAGAAAAATAAACTATACACAAAAATGAGGTAGGTTGCTTAAAGGTACTTTCAGGTACACTGAAGGTAATAATTTGCACTAATGATCAAAATTTCACAGGCAAAGCAAAGAGCACAATGGAGCAATGGTGGTGAGGCTAGGCAACCTGGGTTACAAAGAATAGTATAATAAATATGCTAATGTAATATAAATTAATGGTAATTTAAGTAATAAAAACTTAATGGGAACTTAGGAAAGTAAAAATGAACTATAATAATAATAGATGACCAATAAGAGTGAAAAAGTAATTATGAAATCTATAAAACGAAAAGCTTACTTACAATAATATTATAAGTACACTATAGTTGAATACTAAAGTTACACTAAAACACTAAAACAAAATGAGGTAGAATAAATAGAGATACACTCAGGTACACTGGATGATAAAGTTTATACTAGAGGAGTATAACACACTAGATATATATACATATACATATATATATATATATATATATATATATATATATATATATATATATATATATATATATATATATATATATATATATATATATATATATATATTAAATATGACCAAAAAAGTAAGATTAATAATTCTAACATGAATTTTCTCAATATTTCTTATGGTTCTTTTCACTGTTGATGGTAATTGAAAAATCAATTCTCCAAAATTCATTTTTATTTCTAGTCTGACGCGACACTTGAACGCGTTTCGTAATAACTTATTACATTTTCAAAGACTTTAGTTTACACACACACAACTATATCCTTCAAACACTAAACAGAGTTTAAACAGCTTTGATTTTATACCTGCATTTGGGTGAGGTGATATGTTACAACAGTTTTGGATGAGGTGAAAACAAACTTTCAACACAAGACAGAACACGAAACAATGGGTATAATATTTTGTAAGTTAAAGGGAAGAATGGAAGTAACTTACTTCTTTATTTATAAATAAATTTTTCAAATATTTTTGATAATTTTAGTTTTGATAGATAGTTTACATCCATCTGATTCTTAACATGGAACATGTACTGGCTTCTTGTTTCCTTTTAAATTATATCAAACCTGTTAATATGAAAAGAGAATATTGGTAACCAATTTGTATTTGCAGGGTATCCAGGGCACCAGCAAGCCTACCCACTACCACATCCTCTGGGATGACAATAACATGAGCATGGATGAGTTACAGTCGCTGACATACAGTATGTGTCACTTGTACTCTCGCTGCACCAGAGCTGTATCTCTTCCAAGTCCGGCATACTACGCCCATTTAGCAGCTTTCAGGTACAGTAAGGTTTCAGCCTGTAATGTCATAGTGCCACCTATTCTGTAACCCTTGGCCTTATATGTATATTCATATCAACTAATGCTTATTGTTTTAATATCAAGACTACACAAAATTCTAAATTAGCTTTTGTAATTTTATAATTGTACTGAGGTAATAAGTATTATTTTCTGTGATTTATGATCTTTCTAAAAATTAACACACGTCTAAGTATTTACATAAAACGTAAGAACACCTAACTTTAACCTAGGTACCGATCTACATAACATTTTTCTAACTATTCAAAATATTTTTCAATTTCTGTACAATAATAGGCCAATATTTTGTGTACCATATTAAACAAAGAATGTGTGGCTATTTAAGCTAATGAGAGTTTGGAGGAGTTATATTCATTGGGAGGAATCTCCCAATGTGGTTTGTCCCACCTTAGTGTCCCTCTCAATGAGTCAACATAATTAACCCCCCCTTGTCACCTAGTGCGGGCTAGGTATCCAAAGTCTCTTTGTTACACCTTTTTTAAAGTAAATTTTAATTTAATTTATATTAGTCAATTATTGGACTTAATTAATTGAGTGCATTAATATTTTCTCTAGTTCTTATTAATTATGGGATCATAACTAAACTATTTATGGTTAATAATCATTAGATTAAACTTGCCTATGTTTATTATTCAACTTTTCTTTGCTTTCATTTATTACCTAGGTTGCCTAGCCTCGCCATACTCCCTTACTCCATTGTACCCCTGGCTTTGCCTGTGTCTCAAAATGCAAATTATTACTTACAGTGTACCTGAGAGTACTTGTAAGCAGTCTACCTCATTTTTTTTTTTCTGTTCATTTTGTATTTGTCTTGTATAGTCTTGTTTATATTTTTATTTTTCCCCCCTTTTATATCAAAATTTTATTTTGTAATTGCCATTCTTGCCTTGTTTTCCTACAACCAGCCTTCTTATGCAAACAAGTATAGACCCAGAACTAAACCTCTTATCCACTATCTAAGACAATCATCACTTTAATGATCAAAATTGCAGATATTTTACAGCTCATGATGTAAACAATGTATTAACACATAATCACAATATCTCTGTAATTAACTTGAATGTAAGATCACTAAGCAAACACTTCGATGATGTTAGTGCCTTGATTGAAACTATTGACAACAAATTCTCTTTTATTATACTTACTGAGACGTGGTTAAAAGAGGATATTACTCAACTCTTTAACATGCCAAACTACTCAGCAATTCACAACTGTCGACCAATTCAGAGAGGTGGTGGTACTGCTCTTTACTACCACCAAGAACTAACATGCTTAAAAGTAATTAGAACTAGAGACTACTGTGGGGAGTATATCTTCGCCAATTTCAGAGTCAAGGGTGCTGAGTCTGTCCTGACTGTGGGAGCAGTCTATAGAATTCCTAACACTGATGTGTCCGAATTCAACTCTAATCTTAGAAATCTTATACTAGATAACAGACTGAACAAAAACCATCTAATTATCGCAGGGGACTTTAATATTGACCTCTGCGAGCCTGAAAACCCTACTGATGCCAGCTTCCTCAACTGTATGAATTCTTGCTTCCTCATACCCTTAATCACTAGACCTACTAGAATCACTGACAGTTCTGCCTCAGCTCTTGATCACATCTGGACCAACATAACCTCTCCGCTTACTTCAGGGATAATCATCGATAGCACTACAGACCATTACCCCCACATTTCTCCTAACATTAACAATCCACCTCTAGAGACATGGGAGATAAGCTTTAGACTGCACAATGAAACTGCCATAGGCAATTTTATAGCTGCTGCTGCTAATGTCAACTGGGAGTCCAAATTAGGTAACATAGGGGACATCAACCTAGCAGTACAATCTTTCTACAAAAAACTCTCAGCCTTTATAACACCCACTGTCCTATGCTAACGAAACAAGTCACAACTAAAAGGCTGAACAATCCTTGGCTTACAAAGGGGATACTTAAATCCATTAATAAAAAACATGACCTTGAGAAGAAGTATAGGTTAGGAATTGTCTCCAAAGAATTTTCAAAGAATTACTCATCATTGCTATCTAAAATAATTAGGAAAGCCAAAATTAAATACTACGAAGATAAATTTACCCACACAAAGGGCAACATTAAGAAAACATGGAGCACAATTTCACAAATATTGGGATCAAAGAAGATTTTAAATAACAAACCAATACTCCTGTCAAATAATGATGGTCTGCTTTCAGCCTCTGACACTGCTTTTGAATTCAATAGGTTCTTCTCTTCCCTTGCAAATGATATTCCATCTTCCAGTACTAATATTCAGGACTATTTTACAGGAAACTATCCACAGTCTCTGTACCGAAAGCCTACTAATGCCACTGATGTTACTGACATAATCCTTTCCCTTAAAACCAAGTCTAGTGCCCTTGAGGAGATACCAACTCTTATTTACAAAAAAGCCTTTTATTTACAAAAAAATATTTTTTAGGCATGTTAACAACTTCAAACCTATATCAATTCTGCCAAACTTGTCTAAAATATTTGAAAAACTTATCTACAAGCAGCTTTACTCTTATCTAGCCAAACACAATATACTTAGTTCTTGTCAATATGGCTTCAGACCCCAAAAAAGCACTAACGATGCACTTATTTGTATGATTAACTTGCTACATGCAGCTCTTGATAAAAATGAGTTAATGAAATACTGCAAAGTGAACAAGGAAATAACACCAGTCTAGTTTTTATAATTACTTTAAAATGACACATATGCTTAATGGCTAGTAAATTACAAGAATAAAGGGAAAATAATGGTAGCTAATGGCACGAGCAGGTAAGACTTGTTTGGGTTTACTGGGAACTAAAGTTTACGGCATCCCCAAGCAGTCATTACAACTGTTCTGGTAATCAGAACATATACATGTCTGATATAAATTTGCTTTACTTTTAGTGCACAAACCTTATAGGAACCTATAAAGTATTGTACAGTAACTGAGCTGATTGGATGTTGTGTGTGGTCCTTAAATAGTCAAGCTACTGCTGTTGTAGATACAGTGGTACCTCATATAACGATCGCCCCAAAAGGCGAACATTTTGGGTAACGACCGACCCGATCGGCAACAAATCGTCCCATATGGTGAACGCTGTTTGAGTAACGTCAACACCACATGGTGGGGTCGCACTGCTTCTTGCACGTTCTTGGACGCTTCCGACGATGCACATAAATTATGTTGTTCTTATTTAAAGATACTAATGATGCCGGGATATAAAGGAGTGACTGCTGAGATGTTGCAAAGCATTGATGTTTTTGTAGAAAAAAGAAATGAAATTTCTGAAGTACGACAAATGTCAAAAAGGTTCGTTCTGTGTTCGGCAGGTAGGCTGCTCCATTATAACAATCTTTCTTTGTTTCAAATGTGTTCCATTTGTTTTGTATTTGTCATTTACGTCTCAATAATGGAGCAGCCTACCTTACATACACTGCACAAACCTTTATGACTTTTTCCTTTCTTCAAATTTGTTCAATATTTATTTTTCATTTGTCTTATAGCAAAAGGTTCGTTTGGTGGTCGGCAGGTAGGCTGCTCCATGTTTCTTACATAAAAAAAGCGAAAATAATAAAAAAGGAAGAATTTTGAAAACCAGAACAAATGTCAAAAAAGTTCACTCGGTTGTCTACAGATAGACTGCTCCATGTTTCTTAACCCTTAAATGGCGCTTGGCTATTTAGTATGCACCACAGGCACATACCAAAAAAAAAAAAAAAAAAAAAAAAAATCTTCTAAACCTGTTAATTTGTGTTCACTGATCATGGGAAAAATAATACAAAAATCGTAAGTGGCATATATTGCCCGCTATAGGGCGGGGAAGTCTGGCAAAAAACAGGCGCTGACTCAGCGTGCATCCCAGGCGGTCTGTTGATCGCCAGCTGTCAGGCCGGAGTTGCCACAGAGATAATTACCTAATTATTTCAATGTCTCTGATTGATTTTTCGTAGTTTTTTTGCTGTAATATTATTCAATAGTGTATAGTTTGATATATTTATATAATAAAATAAGTGAATCATCATTGTACTCAAAAATATGGTGTGCATATTGTTGATTCAATTATCTTCATCAAACAGTGAACAAATACTTTGTTGGTTATTACACTATATACACAGGTTATATATAAGTATCTGCATGTTTTGTTCACCATAACGAACCACTAAGTTGCTATTATGAGTCAAAATGTAACGAGGAGTGACCGCCACACACCAGCCAGCCACTCACTCACTCCCTCCCTCAACACTTCACTCGCCCACATTCTCCTCCCACCATACTGTTTTTGCTTTTATTCACTATATACAGACGTTATATATATGTATCTATATTCGTGTTAACCATAACGAACCAATAAGTTGGCATGCTGAGTGGCAGTGGCAGCTCGCCTTTGGCTGCTACTTCCTCCCTCCCTCAAGTCACCTGACTCACCCACATTCTCCCCCCACAATACTGTTTTTGCTTTTATTCACTATATACAGACGTTATATATAAGTATCTACATTGGTGTTCACCATAACGAACCACTAAGTTGATATGCAGAGTGGCAGTGGCAGCCACTGGCTGCCACTCCCTCCCTCCCTCACCTCACCTGACTTGCCACCATTCTCCTCCCACCATACTGTTTTTGCTTTTATATACAGACGTTATATATAAGTATTTACATGTTTTGTTCACCAGAACTCTACATCTAAGCTTGTATGGTGAGTAAAGGCACAAAGACGTAGATACTCACACAGTCAGCTGGTGGCGGCCACCCTCAAGGCCAGGCGGACTAATATTTCTCCTCCAACAATACTGTTTGTGGTGTTATTACACTATATACACACATTATATATAAGTATCTACCTGTTTTATTCACCATACTTGTACAAGTAAACTGGTATGGTGCCCAAAGACCATAGTGGTCACCAGTAAACAACATAAGTCGGGCAGACGACGCACCTCCCTCACCAAAATGGCGGCTCCCA